GGTCAGCAGGTGCAATCATCTTTACTTCAACATTCTACATGAAATAATTGCATTCCTGGCTCTTCTTTTGCATCCAGATGAAGCTCTGGAGATCAATAGTCATTGAATTAACATAGAATTCTGTAAGAGCAAATGATATTATCAGAAGTACCTGAGTGGAAGTAAAAATTCATAATATAGTACACGCTGGTCAGCATTTCAAACAAATAGCACCAGAATAATATTTACATATGAATCATGGTAAAGTGAAATGGCACTCCACCATGTAGAGGAGTTTGAACTTAATGCTAAGACAGTTCCATACATGTGTGTATATGATCTATACAGCATAATGTGGTGGTTTTGGTCATTGGAAAACATTGGTTATTCCACACTGCCATTCTCCTGATGATTCCTGGACAACTTCTTCCAAGTCAAGAGTTTGGGTGATGTCTTCTCCACCTTCCTCTTCTTCTGGGTTCAATGACACTTCTTCAATGAGATCTATAAAGTAATAACTGAGTCAATGACAACACTAAATGCACATATACAAAAAAATGGTGTGTGCTTATACAGGGAACAGAACATCAAGTGACTTACACCTGTTACTGTTCTTTGCAAGGCACTGACCTCCTGGAGTAGAATCCATCATTTATCAGTTATCTAGCGGCCTATTTATAAAAATTTGCATAGCTATGTGTCCAGCGAAACTGCATGCACATTCCTTCCAGCATTCGCTTAATCAGTTTAGGGATTGTATAAAGCTGTGGCTGTGTGAAAACAGGGCAAAACTGAATGGACAGAGTATTTTTTTCTTGTGATCAAATGTTCTTAGGGTAGTTTGAATCCAGTATGGCTTACAGTGCATTGAAAAAGTATTCATACCCCTTGAAATTTTCCACATTTTGTCAGGTTACAACCACAAAACGTAAATGTATTTTACTGGGATTTTATGTCATAGACCAACATAAAGTTGCACATAATTGTGAAGTGGAAGGAAAATAAGACGTTTTCAAAATTTTTTACAAATAAATATCTTTAAAGTGTGATGTGCATTTGTATTCAGCCCCCTTTACTCCCATACCCCTAACTAAAATCTAGTGGAACCAATTGCCTTCAGAAGTCACCTAATTCGTAAATAAAGTCCACTTGTGTGTAATTTAATCTCAGTATAAATACAGCTGTTCTGTGAAGCCCTCAGAGGTTTGTTAGAGAACATTAGTGAACAAAGAGCTTCATGAAGGCCAAGGAACACACCAGACAGGTCAGGGATAAGGTTGAGGAGAAGTTTAAAGCAGGGTTAGGTTATAAACAAATATCCCAAGCTTTGAACATTTCATGGAACACTGTTCAATCAATCATCCGAAAATGGAAAGAGTATGGCACAACTGCAAACCTACCAATATATGGCCGTCCACCTAAACTGACAGGTCGGGCAAGGAGTGGATTACTCAGAGAAGCAGCCAAGAGGCCCATGGTAACTCTGGAGGAGCTGCAGAGATCCACAGCTCAGGTGGGAGAATCTGTCCACAGGACAACTATGTGTGACGGAAAACTGCAGATCCACAGCTCAAGTGGGAGAATCTGTCCACAGGACAACTATGTGTGACGGAAAACTAACACTGCACATCACCCTGACCACACAGTGAAACATGGTGGTGGTGCCAGCATCATGTTGTGGGGATGCTTTTCTTCAGCAGGGACAGGGAAACTGGTCAGCGTTAATAGGAAGATGGATTGAGCCAAATCCAGGGCAATCTTAGAAAAAAGCCTGTTAGAGTATGCAATAGACATGGGACTGGGGTGGAGGTTCACCTTCCAGCAGGACATGACCCTAAACATACAGCCAGAACTACAATGGAATGGTTTAGATCAAAGCATATTCATGTGTTAGTTGGATTTAGGTCTGGACTTTGACTGAGCCATTCTAAGAATCTGTAGTAAGACTTGAAAGCTTGAGCTATTTTGCAAACAAGAATGGGCAAAAATTTAACTCTCTAGATGTGCAAAGCTTGCAGAGACATACCCAAAAAGACTTAATTGCAGCAAAAGATGGTTCTACAAAGTATTGACTCAGGGGGGCTGAATACAAATGCACGCCACACTTTTCAGATATTTACTTGTAAAAAATTTTGAAAACCATTTATCATTTTCCTTCCACTTCACAATTATGTGGCAACAATTTGTGCTGGTCGCTCACATAAAATCCCAATAAAATACATTTACGTTTTTGATTGTAACATGACAAAATGTGGAAAATTTCAAGGGGTATGAATACTTTTTCAAGACACTGTATTATACATGCAACAGCATGTATAACAGTGAACACATTCAAATTACATCCAATTAGATAACATTGTAACAAACAGAATTCACCAGATGCATGCTACATTCACTTGTGAATATTATAAAATACATTTTTCAAATATTAAAACATTATTTATATGACCTTTAGTGGTATGCCAATTCATTTGCAGAGCAATTTTTTTTTGTCATAAATAGACAGACCCCTATGTGATATACATAATATGAGACTAATACTAACAGATACTGACAACTGGACACACAGACCTTTTTCAGGAAGGTTGTTCCCAAAATGAAGCAAGGGCAAAATTGTAACTCCATGAGGCCTTCTACAGATAGAAACAACTGGGCTGATTTTAGAAACTGTAGCAAAAGTGAAATTGTTGGCCATAGCAACCAAATTAGTGTCTGATAGAAGAAAACTTTTTGTTCTGCAAGTAAAACCCCACTTTTGCTCCAGTTTTCATACATTAGTCTTGAAGATCCGACCTACCTCATGGCTCTTGTTTTATTCCCAATAAAATTGACAGCGAAAGAAAGGATAGAGTTGCAAAATATAAATATTACGGCTACTGTAAACAGAAGCCAGACTTCGTAGTAAAATGCAGAATGCTTTCTGGGATTGTCATGTACAGTTAGGTCTACACATATTTGGACACAGGCACAATTTTAGTTTTTTTTCAGATATTTACCAAAACATATTCAAGCTATAGTTATATAATGTATATGAGCTGAAAGTTCACACTCTCAGGTTTAATTTGAGGGCATGTACATCCAAATTGGAGGAAGGGTTTAGGAATTACAGCTCTTAAGAGTAGCCAATCCCCCCCCCCCTTTTTTTCAAGGGATCAAAATTAATTGGACAATTAAATCAAAAGCTGTTTCATGGCTAGGTATGGGCTACTCCTTGAATATTTCATCATCAATGAAGCAGGTAAAAGGTCTGGAGTTGATTCTAAGTATGGCATTTGCATTTGAGAAGTGCAAACCATTCATAAGCCTGAAGAATAGAAAGGCCAGATTAGACTTTGCCAATAAACATCTAAAAAAGCCAGACCAGTTTCTGGAAAAGCATGCTTTGGGCAGATGAAACTAAGATAAATCTGTACCAGAATGAGGGGGAAAAAAAAAGTATGGAGAAGGCTTCGAACACCTCATGATCCAAAGCACACAACGTCATCTGTAAAACATGGTGGAGGCAGTGTGATGGCTTGGGCATGCATGGCTTCCATTGGCACTGGGTCATTGGTGTTTATTGATGATGTGACAGAAGACAGAAAACAGCCGGATGAATTTTGCAGTGTTTAGAGATATACTGTCAGCCCAGATTCAGCCAAATGCAGCAAAGTTGATTGGACGGCGCTTCCCAGTACGAATGGATAAGGATCCAAAACACACTGCAAAAGCAACCCAGGAGCTTTTGAAGGAAAAGAAGTGGAATTTCCTGTAATGGCCGAATCACTCACCTGATCTCAACCCAATTGAGCATGCATTTCACTTGCTGAAGGCAAAACTAAAAGGCAGAAAGACCCACAAAGAACAACTGAAGACAGCTGCAGTTAGAGCCTGGCAAAGCATCAGAAAGGAGGAAATCCAGTCTGTGGTAATGTCTATGGGTTCCAGACTTCAGGCAGTAATTGTCAGTAAAGGATTCTCAACAAAATATTAGAAATGAACATTTTATTTTTGATTATATTAATTTGTCCAATTTCATTTGAGCCCCTGAAAATGGAGGGACTGTGTATAAAAATGGTTGCAGTTCCTAAAATTTGTACTTAATATTTATGTCCAACCCCTTGAATTAAAGCTGAAAGTCTGCACTCAAAATTAATTTGGATTATTTTGTTTTAATTTATTCTGGTGGCATACAGAGCCAAAAGTATGCAAATTGTGCCTGTGTCCAAATATATATGGACCAAACTGTATTTCAGGTGGTTTAAAAGGGCCTTTATTTGCATTACCCCTTGTTTTAATTACAGGAGAAGTATAGCCAAAGCTCTGTTGGTTATTCTTGTCCTGGGGATCACAGAAGAGCAGCTTGTTCTGCACTGTGACCTGTTTTCAGACAACAGCGTGCTAAAGTCCTCCATTGGCGGATGTCACAGAGCCAATCCAGGCTGTGAAAAGATCCTGACCGCATGGTCAGGATCTACCCAGAAGCCTGGATTGGCACCTGGCACAGCCTCTCAGTGATCCACTGAGAGTCTTAGCCAGCTGTCCCAACCCCCTCCACAGCCCAGCACTCACTGGGAGCAGAGCAGAGAGTCAGAGATGGACAGTCACCAACTCTCTGCTCATGGAGCTCTGAGCGATCAGCGGTGTTTGATCGCTGAGTTCTCAGTCTTAGAGCTGGCAAGGGACAAATGCAGCATCAGATCGATGCTGCATCCACCTAGGTGAGTATATATATATTTTTTTTTATTAACCTATACTTCTCTTTTAAGAATAAATGCATATAACACAATTGAAATTACTGAACATATTACTGAAATTACTGAAATATCCAACAACACTGTCTTTCACAATTACATTTCACAATACCAAGTCGTGGCAATCAAAGTATTAATAAATGATTGTAACTTTGTAGATTTACAGTTATCAGTTGGTTGGTAAATATTGGTAGTAGTATTATTATTATTCTATGTGCTTTCATTTTTTTTTTAACATCAGTGAGCATAAAAAAAGTTTACTCTTCATAGACAGCATATAGCAGGACATCAACAAAACCTACCAGGGTAAGAATGGGTTCGCTTCATGTGTAGCTTCATATTGCATTTCTGCGAGAAGGTCATTGAACAGTAATCACATTTGTATGGTTTTTCTCCAGTGTGTTTTTTCATATGCACTTGCAGTGCACTCTTCTGGTTAAAAGCTTTCTCACATAGTGTGCACTGAAATGGTCGTTCACCTGTGAACAGAGATAGTCATAGCGCAGCTGTAATAATAAAATGTACTGGAAAACTGCAGAAGACAGCTTTAGGCTACATGCACACAGTCATACGAATTTAACTGACCATACAGACAAGCTTTTTCTGGCAAAAAGGTTCCTGTGTAAAAGGTCAGTGAAATTCTGGCCTTTGGATATATCTCTTAAATGCTTAAAAATGTAGTCCTATATTCTCCTACTTTTTTTTTTTAATCCCAGAATGCACTTTTTGGATCTATGTATACAAATATACATGCATGTACACATGTAAACTCAATGTACAATAATTAAAGCAAAAGTAAAGAATTGTTTCTAAATCACTCTAAAATTGCAAACACTGCGTATACAGGCATATTTCCAAATCTGTGTAACATAATGCCATTATCCATATTCCATCGCCAGCACAAGTGTGAGGTGATGAAGCGTTCGCACAATCTGAGGGACACACACACACATACATACATTCATACATACACACACACACACACACACACAAACACAGTAAAAACCTCTGAGCTGCTATAATAAATCAGTCTTTGATGAACACCTGTTTATCTGCTACCAACCAATAACACTCTCATAACACTCTCATATGTGTTACAAAAGCAAAATTGTTGTTGCGCCTAAGTCTAAAACATCCACTATATATATACTATACAGTATATATATATATATATTAAACACTATTATTATTGTGATTCATTTGCCACAATGTGTTTATGAATCTCAAAATAAAATAAATATTTAAAGCATAAAAAAAAAAGTTCAACATGTGAAAGAATCTCTGGATAACTTGCTGTGTATCCCTTTAACTTATTCCGCCTCTAGTTTATCTAGTTTACACACTACTGCTCTTTCACAAGTCAGTGGTCGCTTCCACCAGATGTGCTCTCATCTCATGCAACTGACCTACATATATATGCAAGGTCAAATAAAGCATGTGCCCCCTTTAAATGGGATCTTTACATGCTCCACACAACCATTAGTGATCCCTCAGGACTGGACACCACTTTATACACTGGTAAAAGGCATTCTTTGCCTTTAAGATGACCATGTGTATCCGACTCTCTGTATTTCCACTCAGCAACATATAAAAAGATAAACACTTCATAGTGCTTCACCTTTTATAACAGTTAATTCACACACTCAATAGAATACAACTCACATTAAAATGTGCATACATGAACTCTGTGTGTGATGATGTCATTCATTTACACCCCACCCCTATGCATTTTGTAATAGAGTCACATGATTTCATCAGGGGGAAAGAGCTGTTAAATGGGGGCAAAAAAAAATGTTACTAGAGTGAAGCAGGAAAAAAAATGCATTATGGCCAATAGTTGGCATTGGTGATCATAGTAAATACTTATTAACTATGTTTGTCTGGTCCATCTAGTGGCCGTAATGCAGTATTTTCCCAAACCACTGTATTTTTCACTAGAGGGAAAGTAGCCAAATAACATTTGATTTTGCCCCTATTTGCAAAGAACTAATGGTCACTTGTTTGGTGGTGATAAGGAAAATTGTTAATGGATTACACTGGTCTGGCAACACTGTAGACTATTGCGGCAACAGTTATTGTTGCTGAATGACACTGGTTTGGTGAACCTGGGATTGGTGTGGCAGCAATAGGGAACACTGTAGTTCTCTGACGGTGATCAGAGACAATGGCTGGCTCCACCGACACAAAGCAATATTAGAGCAGCCATTGTACATGATCGCAGTCACAGCAATACAAGGTCACCATAGACACTGCACTTGCAGTATATATTTTGTTCATCCCTTGTGACAGCAAGAAAGTTGATTAAAAAAAAATTAAAGGAGCAGTGAAAAAATATAAACTGGTAACCTGTAAAGGCTTTTAAAGCCTCGCCTATTGAGATTTTTAGGTTCTGTAGTTAGTTGCCATTCCACAGACGTGCGCAATTTTAAAAGTTTTTTTACATTTGCAAAACAACTGCTCAATTATTGTGTGACAAAAAAATTTAACAAACATTTTTTCTCCAGGGCCTTTGCTTTCTGAAAATATATAATATTTGGGGGTTCTAAGTAATTATCTAGTAAAAAAAAAAAAAAAAAAAAAAAAAAAAGCAAATTTTTACATGTATGTGAGAAGTGTCAGAATTGGCATGGGCAGCACGTGGTTAATAGTCAAAACTACCAATAAAATGTACACATATAGCTAAAAATCTACAACCCCCATTTCACCAGGCTCAACATAGTAACTACCTAACCATGGTGTGGAAGAAAAAAAACCCTGACTAAATGAACACGGTTATGTAGGGTCACAAGTCTGTATGCATCTCTAACTCTACACTGAGCCCCAATCTGATCACATTGTAGATCTAATGGGTCTGTGGCCCATAACTGCACATTCTTGTTTCATCCAATTCCAAACAAATGACCTGATGGAAGTATGGAGGGGCCTAAGCCTTTTAATCACCAGCTCTGATGAAAAGAGCCTGCCCTTAAATTGGGTCAGCGGTGATACACGCTACAGACAGTGGCTGCATTCTCTCTAATAGTATCTATCATTGACTTGACATGAAACGAAAAGCAGTTCTGATGGTATATATTCGAACATATTTGTAAAATTAATGAAACAGTTCACTTAAAATACAAGAATATACCAATGTCCATTAAAAAATGAAAGCTATGATGGATGGGTTAAAGTGTGGTTGTCTTATGAATAAGGAAATGATTAACGTGGCCTTTACTACACAAGAGAAAGTTGGTGAGTTAGTATTACAGCATTGTATGTTAATTGGTTTTCTAAACAATACTGATATTGTCTTAAAGTAACACTCATTCCATCTGTTAATATGGCACTTTTCTCCTTTGCCTTCTCAATTTCAGGGCTATTTAAAGCTATTGCCTGTATGTTTAAGTCTTTGCATGAACAAAGTAAAATTGGTATAAAGACTATGGAAATTGGAGCAATTATGGAAGAATAAGTTGCATCTCACAAAATGTATCATGAAAAAAATTACCTTTCTGAGCGTGCAGTAAACATTTTTTTTCACTTAATGACATTTATTAAGAAGATGAAAGCACATGGGAATTGTTAGGATATGAAGCTTGCACATTTATTACGACAATGAAATTATAGGCAGAGGTTTTTAGAGGTTCTTAAGGAACAGCAAAATGTAACTGCAGAACAAAACCATTTGTGAACATCCTTCTTCTTCAGAAGAAGCAAATTTATCCTAATTGCTCTGAAAATGAACTCCTTAATAATTCTCAAATCATCTGCCACAAAAACCACCAAAATACAGGCCATGATCTAGAGTCTAGGGACTAAGTAAGATGACTGTACTTTCAACATTCATCACAAACCAAAAAAATGAGAAACCGCCAACAAAACAAAAAAAAATGGAAAAACACCATACATGTCCTTCTTGAACAAATATGACTATTAATTTTTTTAATTTAAATAACTATATTAGTAAACAGAAAGACAACAATTAGCATTCTGCAAAGCGAGATGATATGCTACACTTCAACCAACTATCTAAATAAAGGGCATATTAATGTAATAGTAGCTTGATCCAGTTGACAAATCAATTGAGAATGGAGTGGTGCAGTGGAGAGCAGGAGCCCGTTGCTTGCTAAAGAAGAAGCAACAAAAATTAGGTTTCCTAACCTACTTAGCTGGCCGATTAACCCAAGATTGGGTGGCAGTCATATCTAAGGCAAATTCAAGTCCCCACAGAGAAGCCATGACATATATGCCAAGAGCGAGGTATTCTGGTTAGTGGGGAAGCAATGCAATTGGATTTTTTTCTTAATTCAAATCAAATTCACGCAGCTACATCTCACTTCTGTCTCCATTCTCTACCCTGCAAATATTAGGCCCCCCCCCCCACCCCTTCCCCAGCTTCCTCTCACATGACATGTTTTCTCTTGCCTGCAGCAGAGTGCTGATGTCAGTTTTGCAAAATATTCCTTGAAGACTGATTTTGACAATGCCTATGATATTTTAATGGGGTAAAAAATGTTTTATGAAAAAAAGGCTATATTTATTATACTATTGTATACTGACAGGTGTGGTCTAACTCTAGATCAAGCCTAATTTCCAAGTTAAATGGATTTTTTCTCTGGCACCTCACTTTATTGTATTGGTTAAAATTAATTGGTTAAAGCATAACTAAAGGCAAAACTTTGGAGTAGAGATAGACACCTATGAGGTTTTTATAGTTGTCTATGCCCCTGTTAGGGAGATTCATCCTCTCTTTTTGCCCTTTTTAGTAATATTATCAAAAGTGAAAGTAAAAGGAAATTACAAATTTTGGGTTGTCTCTGGAAAAGTAATACAGAGGAAATTTTTAAATGAGGACGCTAGTTCTGGTGACCTGGGGTATCGGGGCCATGGAGTCAATGAATTTGCAGGGATTTTCTCTCACTTCCTGTTTTGGCTATGGGACAGGAAGTTATGGTAAATCTCCCCTATAGTTCTACTTTAACTTTGCATTTCATTGCATTTTGTGGGCCGTGCTGTGATACCACATGCTTCAGAAAGTTATACTTGCTGTACCTGATCTCCCTTTCCAAATTTTAGCTGAACTTGCTTGACCTTAGAAAATGAAATTTCTATTTTTTCTTGAAATCTCCTTTAAAATCACAAAAAGTCGAGGATATACAGTATAGGCGCCCAATTTTAAATTAACCCATAAGCATATTAGGTATAATCCCCCAAAAAAAAATCCTGCATACCAATAATGTCTTGACAGGAGAAACTTTATTCAGCCTACAAACATGGTCCTGCATCTGGGACCACCACTCTAAACGCTCTATGACTAAGCCCATTGGGTGAAACATGTCACAGCAGTGGTCCTGGGGGCTAGACAACATGCAAAAGCTTATTGTTGATTAAAGTTTTTTCCGTGAAGACATCATCAATGTGCAGCTTTTTCTTGGTATACTGAGCCATGTGTAGTGGACTCCAAGTCAACGCTTTTTCTTAACCCAACAAACCATGAGCATAATAAATTACATAAAAATGGGTGAGGTGCCTATAAAGGATCTTTTACCACTTCAGTTCCAGATAGAGTATGTAAAATCTTGTGGTCTTGGTCTGATTGGGAAATTCACTTCACTTCAGTAAACACAACAGGAAGTGAAATCTCTTAAATAGCTGCAGCAAGTTTTCCCACTGGAAAATTGTCACTCTATGCCAGCTCACAATTTAAAATTTTCCATCACTTTTAGTCCCTGTGAGAATGATCACTGGAACATATACAGAACATTAATGCATACAGAAGAATTCAAAAAGAGTGTCTAAGACGTCTCTGTAGAATTCCAACGCACCTCCATACGACAAATGTGGGCAACAGATTCACGTACCTGATTTAGACAGGTACATGAGTATGGGGCAAGCATCACATGTGCGGGTCCACTGAGGTCAGTAGGCAGTTCTTTAGACAATAGACAATGCAATTGACTATAGAATCCGCCCACTGCCTGTTGTCAATCATCAGGAGAGAGTGAACCCAATGAGGAACTAGTGTCTCAGCTTCCCCATCAAGCTCCATCCTGAAACTGGTTGTTAGGAGGTTGTGGCCTGTGAAACTGATAGTGTTCTTAACAACAAGTTTCAGGTGGGGAGGGGAGGTAGTGGTGGCAAACATGCTACTCTGCTACACAGCATACAGAGACAGGCACTCTTCCTGTCTCTGTATGCAAGCTTATCTCCAGTTTTGTTATCAATGAACTGGATGTAATTATTTTTGAGTTGTTGTTTTCTACTGCAAAGTAGCACAGATGAAAGAGGTGACAGGGATTTTTAAATCTGGCATAGAACATTTTAGAGCCATAGTAACAGAAAAGTGTTGTTAGGAATTTATTCAATTCCCCTGATTCTATAGCAGTTGATCTGAAAAAGGAAGAAATTAATTTCCAGAATTTTTTTTCCAAAACTGTGGAACTATATAACTAACGTGTCAAAGATATTTACCCAAAAATACATTCAGGAAAGCCTCCTGACTATAAAGAGGTCACATAAATTTTAATTTTAATTTAAAGCCCAACTGAACCCATGTGGTTCAGATCGCAGTGGTTTGGATCTCCAGTAGTCCAACATGCTCCCTGCATAGTTTTCCGAATAACGCTCACACTTTCACAAAGTATGCCTATAGTTTAAAAAAGCATTTATCCTTTGTGAGTCACTTAAAACAAGTCTGCTTGCATGAATTATTAATTTAGCATTAAGACAGCAATGAATCATATCCCAAGCTTAGCACTGGCCCTTGCTAATGATGAGGCAATGCTGCTGGGACCTGCTACAACCAGTTGTTGATTAGAACAGTGTTGGAATGAATAAATGTGATTGCAGTGCTCAAGGGCTCAAGAGGTTGATATCTAAACAATCTCACATTAATCCTTCTCATAACAAAATACCTGTATGAATGCGGCTGTGTCTTTCAAGCTGACTTGGTTTAGCAAATCCTTTGTCACATGTGTCACACTTAAATAATTTTGGCAATTGAGAGTTTCTAGAAGGCCCAGGCTGGTGTGTTTGCATGTGATCCTGTTAGAAAAAAATTAAAAATAGAAAAGTTAAAACATTACTCACTTAATTCACTAAAAGCGGGAATATGTGGCGACCCAGAGATAAGGCACATTTCAAATTTGATTACCATAAGTTGTTAACAGCAGGCACAGTTTAGGCCTCTTGGGGTTTGTTTTCAAAAGAAAAACAAAGCAAACATTTACATAGATTTTATTTCATGGGAAAATTGTCTACAGTAATTCACAGATATATAATCCATGTAAGTCTGGAATCACCTATATTATACTGTATACTATGGTAAAGTGTTCATGAATCGTACATCATTTTATGAGTCTATAGAAAAAGTACATAACACCAGGGATTAGGCGACATCATTAGACCCCTGGATGCATTTGGCAATTACAAGACAGCAAAACAATTATTTTTACACAATACTCAGGCTACTTTATATACAGGTGAAACTCAAAAAATTTGAATATTGTGCAAAAGTTCATTTATTTCAGTAATGCAACTTAAAAGGTGAAACTAATATATGAGATAGACTCATTACATGAAAAGCAAGATAGTTCAAGCCGTAATTTGTCATAATTGTGATGATTATGGCTTACAGCTCATGAAAATCCCAAATCTACAACCTCAGAAAATTAGAATATTGTGAGAAGGTGCAATATTCTAGGCTCAAAGTGTCCCACTCTAATCAGCTAATTAAGACATAACACCTGCAAAGAATTCCTGAGCCTTTAAATGGTCTATCAGTCTGGTTCAGTAGAAATCACAATCATGGGAAAGACTTCTGAGCTGACAGTTGGGCAGAAAACCATCATTGCCACCCTCCATAAGGATTTGAAGCCTCAAAAGGTAATTACAGAAGAAGTTGGATGTTCCCAAAGTGCTGTATCAAAGCACATTAATGGAAAGTTATGTGGAAGGGAAAAGCGTGGAAGAAAAAGGTGCACAAGCAGCAGGAATGACCGCAGCCTGGAGAGGATTGTCAAGAAAAGGCCATTCAAAAGTGTTGAGGACTTTCACAAGGAGTGGACTGAGGCTGGAGTCAGTGCATCAAGAGCCACCACACACAGACGGATCCTAGACATGGGCTTCAAATGTCGTATTCCTCTTGTCAAGCCGCTCCTGAACAACAAACAACGTCAGAAGCGTCTTACCTGGACTAAAGAAAAACAGACCTGGTCTGTTGCTCAGTGGTCCAAAGTCCTCTTTTCTGATGAGAGCAACTTTTGCATCTCATTTGGAAACCAAGGACCCAGGAATAATGGAGAGGCACACACTGCAAGATGCTTGAAGTCCAGTGTGAAGTTTCCACAGTCTGTGTTGATTTGGGGAGCCATGTCATCTGCAGGTGTTGGTCCACTGTGCTTCATTAAGTCCAGGTTCAACGCAGCCGTCTACCAGGAGATTTTGGAGCACTTCATGCTTCCTTCCGCAGACGAGCTTTATGGGGATGCTGACTTCATTTTCCAGCAGGACTTGGCACTTGCCCACACTGCCAAAAGCACCAAAACCTGGTTCAATGACCGTGGGATTACTGTGCTTGATTGGCCAGCAAACTCGCCTGACCTGAACCCCATAGAAAATCTATGGGGCATTGCCAAGAGAAAGATGAGTGACATGGGACCGAACAATGCAGAATAGCTGAAGGCAGCTATTGAAGCATCCTGGTCTTCCATAACACTTCAGCAGTGCCACAGGCTGATAGCTTCCATGCCACGCCGTATTGAGGCAGTAATTGCTGCAAAAAGGACCCAACCCAAGTACTGAGTACATATGCATGCTTATACTTTTCAGAGGTCCGATATTGTTCTATGTACAATCCTTGTTTTATTGATTGTATGTAATATTCTAATTTTCTGAGATTGTGGATTTGGGGTTTTCAGGAGCTATAAGCCATAATCATCACAATTATGACAAATCACGGCTTGAACTATCTTGCTTTGCATGTAATGAGTCTGTCTCATATTAGTTTCACCTTTTAAGTTGCACTACTGAAATAAATGAACTTTTGCACGATATTCTAATTTTTTGAGTTTCACCTGTACATAAAAAGGTTGGTAAAACCTAATAACTTACAGACATTTAAAGCATAGGTATACATTTTAAACTATATTGAAAAAAACTTTTTTTTCAAGAGCTGTTTTGGTTATTCCACATAATCTTTATGTTTTTTTTGGTGTGCTGAATCCGAAAATTACCATTTTGTCATAGGACATCACGTTTCCTGACAATTTAGGCAACTATGTTAAATAAGGCAATACCTCAAAATAAATGGAAATAGACTTATAAAATTAAAGTTTTATTACAATTTTTTCATGAAAATCCTTTTTTGAACTGAAATGAGCTCACCTACACACACTAAACTCGATTCTTCTTCCCTGTGAGGCTCCTCTTGGTGCATTTAGGCTTGTGAGTAGCATCTGGAATGTCTCTCTGAAGCATCCAACAGTAGTCTGCCATCATTGTAATGCTCCACTCACAGCTCCCAAATTTTCAGGAAAGTAGTCAAGGTGGGACTGGTGGAAATGCACTTTCAAACTCATCAGGCAACCTAAAGCTTGAAATGCTTTCACCATTCGTCCAACGATCTTTTTGTAGTGAGGATCTATGTTATTGCCTAAAAATTTCTGTACGACTTCTTTAAATGCAATCCACCCTTCTTTTTGAGGATCTGTCATGGTATTGACAAACTCTTGAACAATTATAAGCCTTCAAATGTCTGGTCCGACGAACAAACCTTCCTTCAATTTTGCCTTCGACAGGCCTGGAAACTTTGTGACCAAGTATTTGAAGCATTCTCCATCTCTTGGAAGTGATTTTACGAATTGCTTCATCAATCTTAATTTTATGTGGAGTTGAGGTAGAAGAACTTTATGGGAAGGTACCAACGTATCTTGGAGGACATTTTTTTCACCGACTGTTAGCACCCTCGGCTGCCAACTCTTCTTGGTCCAGTGATTTTGTCGGTCTCAACTGTCCCATAGACACAGAAAACAAGGGTATTTGGTATACCCAGCTTGTTGCCCAAGCAGCATGCACAAGACCTTCAAGTCCCCACACACTTGCCAACCATGGTCTTCTTCAGGAAAGATTAACCCCTTCTACCATTAGAAGCACAGACTCAGGGCTGAGGCTTACACATACAGCATGCTGCTGAGTATCCCAGTAGTCAGACATGTCACTCAGAGCAGCACTTGTATTCACCCCCTTTGCAGGGGGGGAGGGGCAGAGATTGTTTACCTGCAAATAAAAACAAAGGGCCAGAAGAGAACTAGGGATATGAGGAAATATAATTTTTTTTCCCTAAAACTTGATAGCTTATGTATATATTGCTGACCATCAGATTCACAGTGCTATATTTTTTTTTACATAACTCGGACAACCCCTTTAAGGTTTTTTTTTTTTGGCATTTTATATCTTAAATGCACTTATGTGAATTAATTAATAGTAATTTGGAAATTTAAATTTGGTTAAAAACCCATAATATAAATAAAATACCAAAAATTAAACAAATTTGATAAATTTGAAGACAATTTTGCATTTTGTGGCAAATCATGGCGTCTAGGAGTTTTTTCAATATTTTATTTGTTTTCAGCACACCAAAATACATGAAAATTAGATGAAAATAATCAAACAGCTTTTTAGTCGCAGACCTGTGCTATCTAAGCCTTGGGGGCCTCCCTGCAGATAACTATGTATACCCCCTTGTACATTTCACAGATCAGAAGTGATTCGAATGCAGGAACAGTCTCCCTGTAGGGTCACTGCCAGACCTGCCCTTCTCTCTTCCTACATTCTCAGGCATTACTGAAAGCAACAGGAGCCATTGGATTCCACTGCTGTCAGTCATATCCTCTGAGGAGGGATCAGGGCCAAGCCAAGCCTTGTGTGTCTATGGATACACATAATCCCCCACAATTGGCTTGCTATGGGAGCACTCTGAGAAGAGGAGGAAGCAAGATCACAAGAAGGGTACTCAAAAAGAGGTGGTAAAGGAACACTCTGTGAAATGCCATTGCACAGATCAGGTACGTATAACAGGTTTCTTATTTTAATAAAAAAATAAATAAAACAACAAAGCTTTACAATCCCTTTAAAAGCTTTTTATGCTGAATTTCCAGTGTGGCAATAGTTAACAGCTTTGGGTCTTCAGACAGAACAGAAGTACAGATGATCTGTGAATGGGGAAGCGAATCCTGTGACTCATCAGACCGTAAAGCTAGGTATACACATTCATTTCGATTTGGTTCAGCTGGTTGAATGAAAAAAAAAAAAAATAAAACTGACAGATCCCTATATCAACACAATGGATATGTGATGCAGGGATCGCTCCCGCTTAGGTATTTTATTCTAACTGTGGGGACTCACTCCCTGTCAGAATACACCAATTAGTGCTTGCAGCCATCGGCTGCAAGTGCTGAACAAATGCTGGTTTTTTCCAGCAAGATTGTTCCGACAGAAGCCGGTGCTTAGACCAGCTTCTGTTGTTTAGATAGCAATACATATGTCCCCAAAGTTGACTATTTTTGGTACATGTGTGCTGGGCTTTACACATTCATAGATTGTGTTTCAAGCAGTGTAATCAATTAAAGAACTTTTTGCTATGAAGGAGGAAGGGGATGTGTCCCTGTCGGACTATCCATACTGCTGTTCTACCTAAAGCTGTGAAACATTGTAGTGCTGGAAATTCAGAGACAGGAAGAGGACAGCCATCCCTGTAGTGATGATTTCTCCAGGATCAAACTGCCTGCAAAACAGTCAAGCGACTAAAACTGTAGCAATTTTGTTTTTTTAATTAAGCTAAACTTAAGCATTCATGAAATTAATCATTTACCCAAACCTAAGACCTAGATAGCACCTAACTCCTAACACTTTCCTAAAACAATAGGAAAAATGTTTATATTACATCAACTAATATTATATTTTCACATGATAAATACTAATCACAGATGCATTAGTGGTATAATACAAGCTTCTGAGACATATCATTGAAGAAAATGTGACTTCTGTAGGCTAAACTAAGTCTAAGGCTAAAAATAAGTTCTAGTTAGGAAATAAATCAAGTCAAAGCAACATGCTGAAAATCATCTCCCCTACTGATTGCTGTAAAAGGATAGACCTGAAGACTGCAGAAATTATGTTATTAGGTTCCCTGGAAGATATGTTGCTTTTGGCAGTGATATTTCTGTTTTGGCATTCATCCACGTGTAAAATACCTTTTTTGGATGAACAAGCACTTGATTTCTGTGTGGTAAAACCAGGCTGATTAAACCTGAGCTCCAAGAAAATGTGAGCTTGTAGTGGCTGCCCCCTGCACTGCAAATTGTCAAGTCTAGGGTGGAGTTGAAAAGGATCTACTGCTTACCCTAGTCTTCATGCTGGTCAGCTCCAGTGCTCTTGCACTCCCTAAAGATCTGGCCTGTACGTGGCTCCTCAGTGTCATCATGTGCAATGCAAGGCTCTCAGTTCTGCACTGCATGTGGAGAAGGCTGGAATCTGAAAGAGTCTAGGAGCACCTCAGAGATATGGTGCTAGAGTGGTCACATACAGTCAGGTCCATAAATATTGGGACACCGACACAATTCTAACATTTTTGGCTCTATACACCACCACAATGGATTTGAAATGAAACGAACAAGATGTGCTTTAACTGCAGACTGTCAGCTTTAATTTGAGGGTATTTACATCCAAATCAGGTGAACGGTGTAGGAATTACAACGGTTTGCATATGTGCCTCCCACTTGTTCAGGGACCAAAAGTAATGGGACAGAATAATAATCATAAATCAAACTTTCACTTTTTAATACTTGGTTGCAAATCCTTTGCAGTCAATTACAGCCTGAAGTCTGGAACGCATAGACATCACCAGACGCTGGGTTTCATCCCTGGTGATGCTCTGCCAGGCCTCTACTGCAACTGTCTTCAGTTCCTGCTTGTTCTTGCGGCATTTTCCCTTCAGTTTTGTCTTCAGCAAGTGAAATGCATGCTCAATCGGATTCAGGTCAGGTGATTGACTGGGCCATTGCATAACATTCCACTTCTTTCCCTTAAAAAACTCTTTGGTTGCTTTTGCAGTATGCTTTGGGTCATTGTCCATCTGCACTGTGAAGCGGCGTCCAATGAGTTCTGAAGCATTTGGCTAAATATGAGCAGATAATATTGCCCGAAAACACTTCAGAATTCATCCTGCTGCTTTTGTCAGCAGTCACATCATCAATAAATACAAGAGAACCAGTTCCATCGGCAGCCATACATGCCCACGCCATGACACTACCACCACCATGCTTCACTGATGAGGTGGTATGCTTAGGATCATGAGCAGTTCCTTTCCTTCTCCATACTCTTCTCTTCCCATCACTCTGGTACAAGTTGATCTTGGTCTCATCTGTCCATAGGATGTTGTTCCAGAACTGTGAAGGCTTTTTTAGATGTCGTTTGGCAAACTCTAATCTGGCCTTCCTGTTTTTGAGGCTCACCAATGGCTTACATCTTGTGGTGAACCCTCTGTATTCACTCTGGTGAAGTCTTCTCTTGATTGTTGACTTTGACACACATACACCTACCTCCTGGAGAGTGTTCTTGATCTGGCCAACTGTTGTGAAGGGTGTTTTCTTCACCAGGGAAAGAATTCTTCGGTCATACACCACAGTTGTTTTCCGTGGTCTTCCGGATCTTTTGGTGTTGCTGAGCTCACCGGTGCGTTCCTTCTTTTTAAGAATGTTCCAAACAGTTGTTTTGGCCACGCATAATGTTTTTGCTATCTCTCTGATGGGTTTGTTTTGTTTTTTTCAGCCTAATGATGGCTTGCTTCACTGATAGTGACAGCTCTTTGGATCTCATCTTGAGAGTTGACAGATTCCAAATGCAATTAGCACACTTGAAATGAACTCTGGACCTTTTATCTGCTCATTGTATTTGGGATAATGAGGGAATAACACACACCTGGCCATGGAACAGCTGAGAAGCCAATTGTCCCATTACTTTTGGTCCCTTAACAAGTGGGAGGCACATATGCAAACCGTTGTAATTCCTACACTGTTCACCTGATTTGGCTGTAAATACCCTCAAATTAAAGCTGACAGTCTGCAGTTAAAGCACATCTTGTTCATTTAATTTCAAATCCATTGTGGTGATGTATAGAGCCAAAAATGTTAGAATTGTGTCGATGTCCCAATATATATGGACCTGACTGTAGCTAGAGAGAGACTGCTGGAGCAGGGAATAAAGTTTTCTCCTGATTCCAGCACCCCTAGGCTTAATGAGCATTTAACATTTGCAATTCCAGGGGCCTGAGTGCAAGAGGACACTTTGCGTGATACCCAAAGTTCAGTTTTATGTTTCTGATACAACAAAAGATGTAAAATATTAACTACAAACACCAAATATCCTACAAAATCAGTTTCGGTGATAAAAGCCTACCTTTAGATGTGATGCTCTCTTAAAGGCTTTATTGCACAGGTGGCACACATGAATCTTTTCTTTCCCATGAGCGTCTTTGTTATGATCTGCCAATATGCAGGCAGAAGGAAAGTAATGGTTACATTCAAAGCACTGGTATATCCTGTCCTGCTTGTCTGCATCGCTTCCTTTACCTATGCGTGCTTCATCTGTAACCTATAGGATAAACAATCATCATCAACTGTAAAACTATGTCACTGGCACACCTATTTCCAGCATCACATTGCCATGAAAATGTTAGCTATAGTATATTTAAAACATATAGAAAACACATAAATGATAATTACGGTCGATGTATAATCATAACATATATATTTATCTCCCATGTTATTAAATTGTTTTTAACAAACATCATGAAAACAAGTCAATTACCATCATGCCAAGTTGTCTCCTGTGATATTCTATTACTAATAGACAATTTCCCAAATTACAATAGCACGTGGTAATTTCATAGTGGAGTGGTAGTTTAAAGTGGCTGTAAACCCTTACATATACCCAGTGAAGTGACTGACCTCAGGTGATAAACAGAGGAAACAAATTTTCCTGCATAAGTGGTACCTGTTTATCGGCAGATGTCTGTCCTCTACAGCCTTCCAAACCACACACCTCTCAGCTCTGAAAAAGCAGGGGGGGGGATCAGAGGTCCCACAGTACAGATATCAGTGAGGACAGCTCTGAGCCCTGATTCCTCACAGTACATGGAAACACATACAGCTGAGGTTGTCAATTACAGGCTGTGTGCTGGAGCTCTCCTCTCACATCACCAATATTATCTCTTGGAGTCAGGAAAGACTGAGAAGAGACACATTCAGATAACACAGGAATAAGGTAGTAGAGAGAATCACACTAAGTGCTTTGGATAGATATAAATGCACATAATAGAAGGATGTGCTTTGTCCATATTTCATGTCTGAGGTTTACAACCACTTTAAAGCACTTCAATCTACTTCTGTGTTTGGAGAGTATATTTTCTAGGTGAGGACTATAAAAAGGAAAAAATAGAAACCAATCAATCTAGAAGTTTGTTAACCCTTAAAATGTGATATAACACGTTAATGATTTATAACTAAAATAATTAGTTCCAGCAAGATCCTGAAGACCAAAGTGCCAATAAAACGTTACACGGACTGGAATGCTCACAGATAGTCTGCTTGGCCTGTGGGGAAAAGAAAAATCAGGAATTAGGGTATCCCTGTAGTTATGACTCAAGAACTATAGAATTTTCTGCAGGTTGAACAAATCTGAAATCCAATGGATTCTGAAGTGATTTGTGCATCTGTGTAGTTACAGTAAAAGTACTAAAGTGCATCCAAATGTACTCTGTCCCAGCCATAACTCTGCTGTAATCGAGTATTGCACTTATAAAGGTACTGTATTCAGGATAGGTAGCACAAGAATACATATGAATAAAGCAGGCTCAGCAGTGTCTGGCAGAAAGAAACAATTGAGCTAACTCCCCAAGCCTGCTGTGTTTTCAACTTTGATTTTTTTTTTCATCTACTGAGCAAACTACACTAATTCCTTAAGGGCTGTGTACTGCTTTATATAATTTAAAACACATATCAGTTATGAAAAAGTTAAGTTAAAAGTGAAAATCTTTTAGAAATAAACTCAAATGTAATTTTGCATATTGTTCCGTAAAATAAGTTTATCCTAAGAAAGACTGCAAAAGAAAAATAAAGGAGGTGACAGAGGAGTTGTATAGACTAGAACAGACACATAAAAAGAAACAGGATACAGAGGTATACTCAGATTATACTTAAAAGAGAAGAGCTAAAGGATCTTTTGGAACAGGAATCAAGGAAGATTTTTAATAGGGTTTCAAGGGAAAGATATCAGTGGGGGAATAGGCCAGGAAAATACCTAATGAAAAGATTTGAGGAAAAGAAATCGAAGAACTATATTGAAAATATTAAAGATGAAAAAGGAGAACTGGTATACTCCACCACTGATATTGCTAAAATGTTCCAAAGATATTATAGCAGGCTGTATCATGTGAATTCTAAGAACCAGAAAGTTACAGAGGAAGAAAAGAGAAGGAAAAGGCAGGATTATTTAAAAGGCAGCAGACCTGCCAAAAATACCAGAAGAAAAATTTGTATCACCAGAACAAGCGTTCTCCCAGGAGGAAATTAATATGGCCCTGAAGAAAACAGCTGGAGGGAAGAGCCCAGGACCTGATGGGTATACAGTGGGGTATTATAAAAGGGTTTTAAAGAATTATTGGTCCATAAGCTTTGCATATATATGAACACCATAGGATAGAGAATGGGAATAAGAGAAGAGTTGCTGCAAGCGTATATAACAATTATTCTAAAAGACGGAAAGGATAGTTCACAATGTGTAAGCTATAGACCTATACCATTACTAAATATAGACACAATGGTTTGCAAAAGTGCTGCTACTAGGTTAAAAGAGCTGAGGCCGGAATGGATACACTTGTGGGTTTGTTCCAGGTAGTGAAGGGAGGGAGGGATAATGGTCTAAGAACATTGCTCATTCTAGAAAAGGCAAAGAGAGAAAAGCTACCGACTATTATATTTTCGATCGATGCCAAAAAAGCTTTTGACAGGGTAGACCTGGGATTCATGATAAATACCCTAGAGGCCTTAGGAATAGGGACTAAAATGTTAAGGTGGATAAAGAAGCTTCATAATCATCCATCAGCGGAAGTTAAGGTAAATGGGTCCCTTTCAGGGTTCTTTAAGATGTACAATGGTACTAGACAGGGATGTCCATTATCCCCGTTATTTGTTATATCCCTGGAAACCCTGTTGGCGATGGTAAGAAAGAGTGTAGACAACAGTTATTAAAATGGGAGAGATAGATCATAGAGTAGCGGCATATGCAGATGACATGCTGTTTTATATTGTGAACCCTGGATTAACATTGCCCAATCTAATGAGATTAGTAAAATGGAGAGCTCTCAAATCTGAAAATAAACCCCTCAAAATCAGAGATCTTGAATATTAATGTTCCATAGAGAGAGATGCAGAACCTACAAAAAGACTTCCCATTCACAAGGAGGGAGAAGGAATTAGGTTATCTAAGAATAAAGCTAACCCCTTCCATAAAGAACATATACCAGGTAAATTATATTCCATTAATAAATGAAATAAAGGATGAATTAAGAAGACTCTCAAGGGGCAGGGTCTCCTGGATTGGGCATATAAATTTGGTTAAGACGGTGATAGTTCCAAAAATCTTGTATAAATTCCATATGCTCCCAGTCCATATTCCAGGATCCTTTTTTGAGATAATAAAAAAACTAATACTTAAATATATATATGGGCTAATAATAAACCAATAATTAGGTATGAAGTTCTGTGTAACAATAAAGAGAAAGGGGAACTAAATCTACCCAGTATTAGGAGTTATTATATCACGGTGATACGGTCACATGTTGTAGACTGGACATATAATTCACAGGGGAAAAGTTGGGTTAAAATAGCAGGTATTTTAAGTAATACATGATTAGAGAAGATTATTTGGATACCATGAATGTTTCGTATTATGGATGAGATTAGTAGCACATTGACACAGGAGGTGTTAAAAGTACTGGATGGAATGTACAAGCAAATGGGTTGGAAGTATAATTCACTGTTGATGCCCCTGGTGGGCACTGAGTTTTTTCCACCAGGGAAAGACAACATTTCGGGGAAATGGTGTACAGATGTAGATGCACGTTTAAGGGATATAGTAGTTAAGGGGAAGTTGCGCACTTTTCAGGATTTAAAGAGAAAAAAAGAGTTATTGTTTGTATTAGATGAACTGAGATATTGTCAATTAAAACTTTTTTTTCAAAGTTGCCTCAACCACGGAGGATGCCGGAGGACATGCTCCCATTTGAAAAAATGCTGGGTTGCGATATAGCTCCAAAACATGTTACTTCAAGGATATATAAAATTCTTATTGAACTTAAGGGGGCGGGTCCTCCGTCGTTCTTAGAGAAATGGGAAGGGGAACTGGGAACAAAAATGAGTGAACAACAGAAAAATAAAATGTTTAAATTAACACATGGGGTGATGAACATTAACACAGTTGAAATAAATTATAAATGTTTAACGAGAAGGTACCTGACACCGAGTGTTGCACATATACAACTCTCTGTAGACTGTAGAGAACTCTGAGTAGAAATCTCACCGCTATGTTGGAGGGGATGTGGATTTAAGGGAACAATGACACATATACGGTGGTGTTGTCGAAAAACACAGGGGTTTTGACAAGATATAATCCAATTTATACAAGAGATATTGGGGACCACTATACAGAACGATCCGTGGATGTGTCTATTTTACAGGTCAGATATATCAGTGAAACAGTATAAAAATAGTGCATTATACCATTTAATTAGTGCGGCTAAGGGACTTATTCCCATATTCTGGGAGGTACAGGAGCCTCAAAAAATAAGGGACTGGATAGACAGGGATGAATATATAAATAAGATGGAGGAGTTATATCATATAGATGAAGATAAAATGGAAAAAATTTGTAAGGAATTGGGTAGATGGCATGATTTCAAGACATCTAAAAAATATATGAAAGTAGTGTGAGTCCCAGGTAGTTGGAGGCAGGAGAATTGAATGGAACGTCTGGAGGGCCGTAGCAACAGGAAAAGGGAAAAGAAAGGTTATAGAGAAAGAAATAATGTAAAGAAGAGGAAGCATAGGAAAATATGATCAAAGAGAACAGATATGGACTGGAATGATAGAAAGAGACGGGAAGCATTATATGGATTGGAGTATTGGAGTAGATTGGGGGGGGGGGGAAGAGGGGAGGGGGGGTTGAAAAATTCAGGTGAAATGTTTGTATTTTGGATGAATATGATAAATTGATGAGTTTTGTAATGAAAAATGTAATAAAAGATATAATAATAATAATAATAAAAAAAAAAAAAAGTTTATCCTAATAGACATAGACAATACTTTTTGTCTTACAATGCATTTACTCTGTTGGATGGGACTTACAAGCCAACCTCAATGCACGGTTTAATTGGGCAACTATGTGGCAAATGAGGTTTAATGTTGATAAATATAAGGTTATGCACTTGGTGGCTAAGAATATGCATGCATCATACATACTAGGGGGAGTACAACTGGGGGAATCAATGGTGGAGAAGGAGCTGGGAGATCACAAGCTTAATAATGGCATGCAAT